GAACAATTTTGAAATAATGTCATCTTCACTTCTCAATAGTTAAAGGAGTTGTCTCGTCTATACTAAGGGTGTCACGATCCTCCAAATCCTAGATTCGATTACATTTTCGATTCTAAAGGCACGATTCGATTTTCGATTATGAATAATTAATTAATTAATGACCAATTAATTATTTGTAGCCTACCGTTTAAACTACCTGACCTGCATGGTCTTTGTTTTACCCATAAACAAATCATACAGTAAATGAATAAAGGCAAGATACACACATAATTACCACCTGTCAATCACTTTTTCTGCGGGACTCGTGAATAGGCAGTGATCTGTGTCGTTATAATGGCGTCGGTAAAAAAGACGCACAACCAACAGGAACCAGCCAACAGTATCTGAGGTGTTCGCTAAAATGACTAAGTACAAGTGAGTGAAAGATTAAAGCAGTCCTCTGACTGCTTGGACCTGCTGTCTCAAGCGCATGGCTGTGTGTGCGTCTGTGTCTGTGTGGTCACGTGATGTGCATTTTCAGAGGTAGAGAGGAAGGAGGGCTGCTCAGAAATGCTACACGCCACTGTGGATGTCAAATCGTTGTCGTTCTAAAATGCCATTTAAAAACAAAGACAATGTAAACAGGGCCTGAGTGTGTACTTTTCGCGAGCGGATTTGCAATGGGGGCGGGCGGAGGATCACAATGCCGGTGTTGTCTATCGGACGAACTGTACGTAATACTTACATAGCAGAGCTTGCAAAACTGTGTTTTTTTTTTGTCGACAACACGAACGTTGTCAACATAACTCACTGGAAATCCAAAATGCTTCCACACCGGCGACTTCATTGAAAGAGGAGAGGGTTTAAGCTCTGTCGACGGGTCTCCTGCGTCTGCAGTTTAACAAGCACTTCAACAAGCCTGTTATTTTCCCGCTTGGCAAGCCAAGCTGACGTGACATGGGGGCGTGGCAGCATCGACGATTCTATTTTTTGATTCGATAATCGAAATTGAGCATAAATTTCAATCGATTTCGATTAAAAATCGAAATCATGACACCCCTAGTCTATACCCTGCTACCAGAACACCTTTCCCCCAAAAATAACTAAAGCATTTCAACAAAAAACTTTATTTTGCAGAAAACACACTGATAAAAAATTAGAGAACACTTTGAGAGACCTCACAGTTATTGGTGTTATTCTGGCACCTAGTGCTAATTTTCTTGATTATCTGTCAACCCCTATTTAACTGGTAGCCTAACTTCCAGTTTCACCGACTCTGCAAGATGGTGGGTCGTTCTAAAGTTACTGAAAGCCTCCGGCAGCAGGTTGTCCATATGAAGGCTAAAGGGATGACCCTATCAGCCATATTAAGACAAGTTGGTCATCCCAAATCTGTGATTTCAAGAATATTGAATCTTTACTAAAGCACAAACTCATTCAAGTCCCCCCAGAAGGCTTGTCATCCACAAAAGACAAATACAAATGAGGACAGGATACTGTGGAGGATCCTAATGGGCAATCGTTTAAACTGAAAACATTGAAATAATGACATGGCCTGCCCAGAGTCCTGAACTCAACCAAATAGAGAACCTCTGGAATATCCTTGGGGACAAAGTTATGGCCAAGAAACCCACTACAGTCACCAAACTGTGAAGGAGACTGGAAGAAGAGTGGACCAAAATCACACTAGAGCAATGTGAGAGACTAATGCTGTCCTGTGGCTGCAGATGTGCTGAAGTCATTCAGAGCAGAGGCCTGTACACTTCCTACTAAGTGCTGACTGTAATAACCTTCAGAACATTTTGTTGTAATCTTTTTCCATGCTACAGTTTTTTTTTTTTGATCTGTGTGTTTTCTGCAAAAGAATGTTTTTTGTTAATATGTCTTAGTTGTTTTGTGGAAAAGGTGTTCTGGTGGCATGGTATAGGCGAGACAAAAACTCCTTCAATTTTTGAGCAGTGAAGATTTGATTATTTATAAATTGTTCTCTAATTTTGATCGCCAGTGTATTTTTAACACAAAAAAAGTGAAAAGTGGTTGTTTTTGTGTTATTTCTGGCAAAATTCGTTCTTCTTGTTTGAAAATAAATTTCGAAGCAACGCAATGCTTAATTCGTGAATTGCGAAGTTCCGGAAAAGATCAGGGTAAAGGATCCGGCATGGACAGAAGTCGCGCATGAAAGTGGCAAGGGTTTGGGGAGTTGCGGAAGAAAGTGAAACTGAACAGCGGACGGAGGAGGAGGGCAGTTGAGGAGGGGCATCGGTAAAATGAGGTACCGGATCAGATTTTGGACAGCACGTCAAGCCCTGAAGCAACGTCACAATCATCATGTAAATTCCAGCTTGGAGATTGACAGTCTGTACCGCCCAGTACGTCATTGAGCTGTTTTTTAGCATTAATTCATGAGAAAGACTTGGTTCTAACCAATCAGCGCGCTCTATTGTGTATGAGGTGCAACTTCATTAATATGCATGACATAGCTTAGAGGAGACAGTTACATTTACAGTGTTCAGATGCAGAGAGAGACACCACATCGCCAACCGTAATTAGAAGAAAAAGTAGAATCGTTCGAGACATGGGTCGTCAGTGTTAAAAGACGCTGCTCCAGTAGGTTTTGAATGTTCTGTCTCTACAGATTTGGTAAGTGAGCGATCAGTGTTCTTTGTTGCTGCCATGTGATTGGCTGATTAGAAATTTGTGTTAACGAGCAGTTAGACAGGTGTACCTAACAAAGTGGCCGGTTAGTGTATGTTGTAGTAAACACGAACAATTAATCGACCTGGGGTGCGTTTGCCAAGCAACGATGTAACTCGCGACTGAGCTATTATAATACGATGCATTGTTTGGGAAAAGAACAATGTAGTGACGAGTGTTTCCCAATACCCATCGTTTCTCGGTGGTAGATCCATCGTTTGAACCGAGCTAGTTATAACGTAAAACTAAAATGTAGTTATAACGTAATATTTATTATTTATTAGGAAACTAAAAAAATCCTAATTTAATAATAATATTAATGATGATGATGACGATTATTATTATTATTAATATTATTAATATTATTAAGTAGGATAGTTTTTTTTAAAAGTCTACTTTTACAATTTGACACATGCAAACCACTGCAGAAATGTTCTAACCAACAGTCTCATGTCATATACAGTACAGACACTTAATAAATAGCCTACTATAAATTAAAAGCAATATTGTATGCCATGTGTTTTTGTGTTCACAAGCTTTAGAGACGTAACATAAATTCCGATTTTAAATAAAAGGTCACCTATAGCTTTCGTCATGAGCCATGGCTGTGTTTAAAATGACATCAATGTTTTCAAAGTGCACTGCGAAGGAAGCACAATTGTAAACATGAAGATCGCTAAATCTGAACTGTAAAAATACATTTTCAATTTTGCTTTGAAAGCAAATTACACCTAAGAGTGATGGCGTTAATGCTTTTTTGTTTTTAATCATTCCAAGTTTAAATGTTAGAAGGTTTTAAATGAATAGGGCATAGGGGGGATAACAGAGAATGGAACACAGCCAGGAACTATGTTTCTAACTACAGGTGTAGTTGCAAGCGTGCAAGTTTGCAACGCAGTTTGCAAATGTTTGTTGGAACGATGGATTTGGGAAACGCCAAATCAATGAACTATGTTTGTAATGACGGAACTTATGACCTTAGTTGACAAACGATGATTTTCGGAAATGCACCGGTGTCCGGTTTGACTGAAATAACAGAAAACAATAAAGTTATTGCAATTCTACAAACAGGGCTTGAAATTGCAACCATTTTGGTCGCATATGCGCCCGAAAATTAATCTATGCGACCTCATAATATATTAGTGCGACCTGTTTTGATTTTTTCTAAAAACGTGCTAAATCGCTTTTCCCTGCCGCTGTATTGGTTCATATTAGCTGTCAATCACTCAAGGCATTCCGCTGTTAGATGACAGGGAGGGACCTTTAATAACCACGGGAAATGCAAACGGCTGAGCAGCTTTGCAAACCTCACCTAAAGTTGAGGCTCAGATGAAAGCGATCATGACATAGTGAATGTTGATCCGCCAGCCGAGATCAATCGAGTGTTTTCGGAGAAGGTGTCTGAATCTCGATGCGCTGCATTCACTGCATGTTCAGCGCAAATATCCGCTAAATGTGAAATTTAATACTGTAAAGATATTCGCCAAAGATGCTCGCCTTTAAGTTTACACTGAAACTGCGGCTCTTAAAGTGCGGTATTTCGCAGGTGGTCTTCGCAAGAGTCCTGCTGGCTCATATATTGGGTCGGCTGACTCGCCTGCCTTTACACTAACACAGAAAAATGAAGATCAGCTCATGACGAGACTGAGCATTTAAATTGACATAAACTGAAACCAAAAAAAGGGTGATAGAAGTGAGACTTTTCTTACTTTTTTTGTCTGTTCTTTTTTGAAACGTTTATTATTTTGCTATTTAGTTACTGATGACTGATGTTGCAGCTTTCAGCATTGAATTAAAAGATTTATTATAATCTGTCATTTGTTTTGTGGCAGAAATCTTACTTATTAAATTGACATGCATATAAAAACAATAGTGCAAAAATGAATATTTCTTACTGCAATGCTTTAATTTTGTTTGATGCAAACCATACATTTATTTTTCATAAAGTAACAGACTTTTACAGCAGATAACTCACATTCAAGCACATTTAAGGCAGCATCATAATGAGAAATGCAATTCATTGCTAATATCATTGTCATTTTCATCATCATTATTATTCTATAATTATTAGACATACATTTTGGAATTATTGCACAAATAGTAAGTCTTCGCAGCATTAGTTAGTTAGTTGTTTCTGGTTTTTGTTAGTCCTAATTGATGTTGTTTTAAAATGCAATAAATCCCTTAAAATACAATTTCCAATAGTGCTTATTTATTTTTGTGGGTGCTCCTAAATTTTTTTTTTTGGCGCTCCTAAATATTTGAAGTTGGGAGCACCGGTGCTACCAAGTAAAAAAGTTAATTGCGAGCCCTGATAAATGTCTTACCGTTTTTGAAACAATCTGTTTCCTCGGTTGTCCGATTTTGAAAGGATTCCTAGAAAACAGAAAAGCAAAATAATAAGTAAGTGAATTCAATGAGTGCATCAATAAGTGTATTCAATTTAGACCACACTTGAGCAAAATTAATATATTTAATATATTTAAATTATTTACATTTTCAAATCTTTATCATACTAAAAGCCAGCCATTTTTTAAAACAGAATTCCAATTAGGTGAGATGTTTGATTTAATGTCCGCTGCATTTCAGAAACAATTTTTAGGTTCGCTATGAAAACCTCAGCAGCAAATTGAATCTTCTCATATGGGCCACATAATCCATCAGAGGCGGATGCGCGTAATTAGAAGTGGCTGTCGCCGCTGCCACAAGCCTTCCTGTGGTCGGCCAGGGGAATCGAGCATGTGCACATCTGACACACATGCACTTTCCTGCGCTCTTCTACTGTAAAACGACCATTCAGAGACACACAGGCTCAGGTGTTCACAGGAAGCAGTCTCACAAACACACATGTGCAACACACACCGCGGCAAACGACTGGCAACCGCAGGTCATCATCAGCCAGCACCCCTAATAATGAGTTCACAGCTGCTCCTGGATCAGCAGTCATTCTAGTTCTTTAGTGATTTAGATAAACCGACTGTTCTGAATTACTTAACACTGTAAATTCACATCATTCAATTCAGGTTTATGAAAACTTTTCGTTGACTTGAGGTACACATCTTCACATGCGGTACAGTATGGAGCCAGGTAAGTCTCAAAAGTAATACATTTAGAAAATAAAATTCATACACACACTATTTAGATTTGCAAATTCCAAAATACATAAATGCAATTTGTAAATTGAAAACATAATTCATATATACCACAATATTTGTGAAAAGAAAAAAATCATGAATATTTTAGCCAACTGAACTGGATTTGTGGATTCATGAATTATGTTTTAAATTCCCAAACTAGATTTGTGTATTTTTTTAATTTACGAGTTGGATTTGTGTATTTATAAATCGTATTTTGAATTTACGAATTAGATTTGTGTATTTATGAATCATGTTTTGTATATATGAATTGGATTTGTGCAAATTTATGGAGCTAGATCAGTCTCAAAAATGATATATTTACAAAATATAATTCATACATCCAAAACACAATTCAGAATTACTAAATCCAATTCATAAATTCAAAAATTCCAAATTGATAAATTCGTAAATTCAAAACACGATAAAAAAATGCACAAATCTAATTTATAAATTCAAAGCACAATTAAAAAATGCGCAAATCCAATTTATAAATTCAAAACACTGTTAAAATCACTGTTAAAAATTACATTTACCAAATGGATTTGTGTATTTTTGAATTTACAAATTGGATTTGTGTATTTTTGAATCGTGTTTTGAATTTAGGAATTGGATTTGTGTAATTTTGGATCGTGTTTAGTGTTTACGAATTGGATTTGTGTATTTCAGATTTGTTTTTTTAATTTACGAATTGGATTTGTGTATTTATTTAATTTATGAATTGGATTTGTGCAATTATATAATTTATGAATTGGAATTTAGTATTTATGAAATGTGTTTTTAACTTACGAATTGGTTTTTATACATGTGAATTGTGTTGTGGATGCGTAAATTATATTTTGTAAATGTATTATATTTAAGACTGATCTTGCTCCACAGAAGCAGAGCACTTTTGAACATTTCTATTGTCATTGATATATATATATACATACATATATATACACATATATATATATATATACATATATATACACACATATATATATATATATATACACATATATATACACACACATATATATATATATATATATATATATATATATATATATATATATATATATATATATATATATATATATATATATATATATAAATACACACATAGACACACACACACACACACACACACATATATATATATATATATATATATATATATATATATATATATATATATATATATATATATATATATATATATATATACGGTTGAAATCAAAGTTATTAGCCTTCTTGTGATTTTTTTATTACAGATTTTTTTTCTTTTGGAGAAAGTCTTATTTTTCTATTTCAGCAAGAATAAAAGCAGTTTTTAATATTATTAGCCCCCGTTAAGCTATAAAATTTTTTTATATTACCCTAACTTGCCTAATTAAGCCTTTAAATGTCTCTTCAAGCTGAATACTAGTATCTTGAAAAATATCTAGTCAAATATCATGTGCTGTCATCATGGCAAAGACAAAATAAATCAGTTATTAGAAATAAGTTATTAAAACTATTATGTTTAGAAATGTGTCGAATAAAATCTCTCTTAAACAAAAATATTCTTTAAGTGTACTTATTTCAATTGTATTCACCTAAACAAAATCACTTTTGTACATTTTATTTGAGGCAAACATCAAAATGGGAAGTCTTCAACCTTTTAATTTTGTGATTGTGGGCAAAAATTATTTTCAAGTGAAAGAAGAAACACAAACCATTAATCAGCCAATTTTTGTGGGTGAAATCACGCCATTTCATTCGTAATTTACGCAATCCATAGTTTCATTGAAATATGTCCCTGAGGAGATTCTCAACGGGTTCAAGCTAGTCACGTGAAAGTTCAAAAATGCCTTCTGTGCTCCATGAATTTGTCATGGTATTTATATTTAATAACATTTCAATTTTGGATGGCCGCACCTTAAGTTGTGGGCTTTCAAAATTCAGTATGACGACAAAGACGACACACTTTTCATCAAGTCTGACAATCAAGTTTCACACTCTTTAGCAGATCAAACCCTCAGGGTGTAAAAGGCATGTTAACTTTAGTCTGGTTTTCCTCCAATTCAGCAAACGCCAAAAAAACACTGATACGCCTACAGGTCGTCCTTCAGTTAGGTCACAACGGTTGGTTTTGTCTGCAGATAAAATCTCATTGAAAGAAACGTGAAAAGATATGCTTATATGATTTTACTCCTTCGTGACATTCTCTCTCACCATCCCTACTTGTCTTATGCTGGTATTAATCATCGAGTTGGTCATGACTGTCAGAATCAAGAAGCTAAAACAATGCTTTTTAATGGATTTCCTTAACCTTTGTGTGCTGTTGGGGATGTTTTCATCCATTTTGGTTTTCAGCAGATACACATATCAGCTTTGACACATATTTTGGGAAAATACTTTAAATTTCAACTCAACAATACACTGCATAGGCAAATTGACTACCCTTTTGTTATGTTTGGGGCTGTTTTTGCCCCCATTGACTTCTATTATAATCACATTTTTTGATTGCAAAGCCATGACACCATGCAATCGTGCATTTTTGATGATTGGTTCACTGAAAAAAAAGGATTCAAAGATTATTCCATGCATTTTCTTTTCTTTTTTTTTTAAGTTTAGTTGTTGTAAACAATTTATTTTGGCTGAATTTAAGCAAACAAATGAAGTAGAACGTACTCAATTTAATTTGTTTGTTTAAATGCAACTCAAATTGTTTGCAATAATTTTGCAGACGGCGTCTACTGATGATCAACAGTAAAATAGGAATGTAACGATTATAGATTTTGGTTGTTTGATTATAGTCTAAGGGATAACCAACTAAACTTCTCTGACCACATTTCTAGAACTGCTCGATCGTGCAGATTCGCACTCTATAACATCAGAAAGATCCGACTCTTCTTATCTGAACATGCAGCTCAACTCCTTGTTCAAGCTCTTGCTCTCTCCAAACTGGATTACTGCAACTCTCTACTAGCTGGGCTTCCAGCTAACTCTATCAAGCCTCTTCAACTGCTCCAGAACGCAGCAGCACGAGTGGTCTTCAATGAACCTAAACGAGCACATGTCACTCCGCTGCTAGTCCGTTTGCACTGGCTGCCAGTTGCTGCTCGCATCAAATTCAAAGCTCTGGTGTTTGCCTACAAAGTGACTTCTGGCCTAGCTCCTTCTTATCTGCTCTCACTTCTGCAGATGTATGTGCCCTCCAGAAACTTGCGTTCTGTGAATGAACGTCGCCTCGTGGTTCCATCCCAAAGAGGGAAGAAATCACTTTCGCGAACGCTCACGCTCAATCTGCCCAGTTGGTGGAATGAACTCCCTAACTGCATCAGAACGGCAGAGTCACTCGCTATTTTCAAGAAACGACTAAAAACTCAACTATTTAGTCTCTACTTCACTTCCTAATCTGCAATTGCCTCTCTGAATATCACACTAACTGTACCAAAAAATAAATAAAATAAATAAAATAATATATATATATATATATATATATATATATATATATATATATATATATATATATATATATATATATATATATATATACTAATACTACTAATACTTTCCTTCTTAGACTTTACAGACCTGAAACTTGCCTATAGCACTTATTCATTGTTGCTCTTAGATGTGTAAATTGCTTCCTTGTCCTCATTTGTAAGTCTCTTTGGATAAAAGCGTCTGCTAAATGACTAATTGTAAATGTAAAATGATAATCACGATTATCAAAAAAAATTTTTTTTTTGCTCGTTCAAGCTAGTTATTATTATTATTATTTTTAACTCATTAAAATGAGCTGAAGCTTCAGACACAATTCTTGAGATTTCATTGGGACAACTTTTTATGTTCAATCCACATGAATTTGTTAAAAGTGTTCAGTTAACTTAATCAATTTGTGTTGAGACAACATAAATGAATTGTGTGGAACCCTGCGTTTTTTACAGTGCTAACCACTGAGCCACCGCAAATGACAAAACATCTTTGAAAAAAAAAACCCCACTTAAATGCTTTTACATTGTCAGCAACAAATAAATCCTGAATATATTCAATATATCATACAGTCCTGAAACTTATCATATGGAGATCATTAAAATAAATAATTAAAAATAAATTAATTATATTTTACCCTCGAACAAACTCCCAAAGGAACGGCACACATTCCTGTCAAACTTGTCAAGGCACTAAATAGGTGGCATAATGAAATCACAGTCTCATCTTTTCTCACAACTTTCCCCAAATGAAAAACAGCAATTAACCGTTCGGCCT